AGAGACAGAGACAGAGAGACAGAGAGACAGAGAGATAGAGAGACTTTTTAAAATCAGATCTGTCTTTAAGGTCCAACAAACCACATACTGTCCCTAGGACATGCGGTAATGTATTTCACCTTTCCAATAGAACCCTCCTCATCTGTAATATACTACTTACACTACACAATCGTGCCAGGACTATCTAAGGTGGCACCTGTGAAGTACGTGTCAGAGTTAGTTCTGAACCAAAGTCCCTGTCCCCGTTATCAGTATGGCCGACCCCAGTTTTATCTTGCTAGTAAAACTTTCCAATAAATACATGGTAAAATTATTGTTTCACAAAGGTTTTAAAAATTGGTAAAAACAAAAAAAATGTAAGTATACAATTTCCCTCTGATGGTCTTATCTCTCCTTCTGTCTTCTGATTTACAAAGGACATAATTCAGGTTATCATTTTAGCTCAGCAGGGTTTATGTGAGTTTAAGGCCGCTAGGCTGGTGTTACGTTTGTTAACACCATCAGCCTCCGTCTTGCACGTTTTTTTTTTATGAAGGTATTAAACTGTGGAAAATATTTATTTAAATAAGAAAGTGAATGGAAAATATCAATAAGGAAAGCAGTGCATGCCCTGCTGCCGGTCCATGATGCCTTAGACGTTAACCTTCCTGGAACTCAGGTCAGAAACCAGAGGGAAATTACCTAGTCGGCTTTAATATCTTACTGGGAAAACCTGACTCACATACAGTTTAGCCTGCCTGGGATTCCTTACAGAGAAATACTGCACACTGAAGGGCTCTCACTTGCACACTGATCTGAAATTTTACTCACATTGTAATTCAAACTTCTGTCACAACCAGAGAAATCACTGACAAGCGAAATGAAAGCAAATCTCTACTCAAAATAAGCCCCATATACTTTTTGAAATGTATCCTTCCAACATGTATATCTTTTATAGATAAAAACTAAGATTTTTCACGAGGTCACAAGACAAAGGAAAGTATTATCCCCAAAGAGTATGCCACCATCTAGGTATAAGAGCATAAAACAAATGTGCAGACATTTTTGAAATTTTCTATATTCTGAACATACTGCGTAAAAACTATATTTTCCTGTCTTCTTAAATTTGTGTGTGCAAGCTGAAGAAAATAGAGCAAAAATAAGTGGGGCTTTAACGAGACAGGATTCAAGCAACAGACACATGTTATGTACAAGCATTTTAAATTCCTCAATAGGCTGCAGAGATAGCTCAAGTGCCTGCCTGGCAAGCACAAGGACCCAGTTCTGATCCCTACTACCACATACCATGCCAGCCTGGAAACCTGGCATGGTGGTGCACGCCTGCAATCCAGGCTCTCGGGAGGTTCAGCAGGAGGATCACTATGAGACTGAGCTCTGTAGCGAGAACTTGTACCAAGTAAATAGCTAATTAAAAGATTATTTTAATTGAAATTCATCAATAAACTTTCTGTAATGCTTTGGAGAGGGAGGATATTAGTAGCCTTGGGAAACTGATGGGAAACTTTTGTTCAAATAGACACAAAAGAATGGTGACATTACATACTGATTCAGGTTTTGAAATGCAAAGTTGCCCTTATTTTATGTTTACACACACACACACACACACACACACACACACACACTGAAAGCATTTAACCATGTTTCTGTCCAATTATTTAAATGCAAGATGACAAAAAATTGAATATATTTTTCATTAATTCTAATAAGTTATTTCAGGAAACACAAAAGCAACAATTTTATCAAATTTATTCAATACAAGAATAGACTGGTTGAAGTGACACCTGCCCCAATGACACTTGGGATATTCAGCACACAAATGAACACACTGCTCAAGGGACCTGGATAAACTGCTAGATGGATAACCTCTTTAATTTAATTGAATGGGCTACAAATTGTGTGATTATATGTTTAGCAGGGGGATGCAAGGAATTGATTATAAGAGTCTTAGTGAAAAAATTGTATCTTTGATCATCATTAATCATAATTTCATGTTGAGTAATTTCTGTAAGAGTCATCGAGGATGCTCCCCATTACGATTCTGGCCCAGGCTTCAAACATGATTTACCTCTAAACATCAAAAGCCAGTTTTCTCCAGTGATTTTGATTAGCTGTATTGTTTTAAATATGAATGTTATCCCATTTTATAGCTGTATTTCAAAAACTAGAGGGGAATTAGCAACAGTTCATTTAAGAGAAGGCTACTTATAAATTCTAGTACAGTTGCATGTATAGTACTAGCTTCACAAGAATTAAAAATGACAGATATAAAAAGTGGCATGCTACATTTTGCATTTCATATTTATTACTATTAACTTTAGGACCCATTACACAACAGTCTATATTTTGGGGGGGATATTCTGTCTAATTAAGTTTCTATTCTGCCACTTAGTATCCAGGTGGCTACACATTGAACGTTGTATTTAATCTCAAACCCAATTTCCTCATCTATAAAATGGAAATGATATTAATTCTAAATAGT